GCGTGTGCGTGTGTGCCCAAAACCCCTAGAGGTGAAGGGATTGCAGTGTGGCCATCCTCCCTGGGGGTGATTTTTCGCTTTCTGTCTTTCTGTCTCTCTCTGTCTTTCTGGTGAGCATACACACCCTATAGCAAAAACCTCTCAAAAAAACCCCAAAAACTCAATCTCCCTGTCTCATGTAAACTTTGTTTTGTTTTTAGTTTTTGCTATATAACCCATGCATTTACCAGAGAGAGAGATAAAGAGAGAGGGAAGTGAGAAATCACTCCCACCCCAGGGGAAGAAGGATGACCATGCCACAGTCCCTTCTCATCTAGTGTCCTCAAGGGATTTGGGGCATGCACACACATGTGCCTGGCATGATTTTCAAGTTGCTGGGTCCAGGACTTAAACCACAGCCAGCCATGTGGGAGTCCAGAGCATTAAGCACCACATCATCTGCTGGTCCCATAAACTTTAAAAAATAAGGAAAAAAAAAAAAAAACTTTAGACAAAGTTTTAACAGAGTTTACTTGCAAACGACGCTGAAGCAGTAAAGGTTTAGAGAGCTCTACCCTACACCCGCAGACAGTCAGTATTTATAGACAGAAAAAGGTGCCAGTAGAGAAATAGCCCAACTGGCCCCTGCTTGGGATATGGACAGTAATTCGCAGCATGTGATTGGCTGAAGTTCTGCTGCCATGAAATTCACCCACTTGTTACAGAATATGCTCTCCAGAGGCTAGACTTCGGGGTAGCAGTAAAACGCAACACTCCGTGAGGCAATCCTATGTAGCAAGGTTCCCAGTTCACATCTGGAACCCTCACTGAGAATGCTGGGCACATGTGTGCCCATGATCTGAGGCTGACTAAAGACGGCGTAAATTCTAGCGCTGAAACCCTGTTGCTGGTGCTATCTCTGTCTCTTTCTCTTGTGGAATAAATCTTTTTTTTTTTAACTTGACAGAGGTTATATGTGCTGATCAGAGACTGATGGGGGCAGGGAACATCCCTCATGGGGCATGATTACATCACAATCCCTTCTCCAGTTTTTCCTCCCATTGGAATTTGGGGCACACATTAACATGTGCCCAGGACGTGTCACAAGTCACTGGGTCCAGGACTCAAACTGTGTGTGCCCATGTGGGATCCAGCTCCCTTACCCACCAAGCTGTTCCTAAATAAACTTTTTTTAAAAAAAGAATATACTGGGCTGACTCTATGGCCTGGTGGTTAAGGCAGCTGGATTCTACATGGTTGACTACTGAGTTTGAGTCCTGGACCCAGTGGCTTGAAAAACATGGCAGGCGTGTGTGCGTGCATGCCCAAAATCTTGAAGGGAAGGAGAAGTGGAAGAGGGGATGGTGGCATGTCCATTCCTTATCAGGGGAGGGTGGTTTCTCTTCTCCTTCTCTCAACATATCTGTATCTCTCTCTGGTGAGCACCTATGCCTTCTAGCAAAATAAATAAATAAATAAAAGAATATATCCTGAAGGGCAAGCAGGCAGCATAGACGTTAAAGTGGCTGGATCCCACACGGCCAACTGTGTGGTTCAAAATCCTGGACCCAGCAGATTGAAAAACACATTGGGTGCATGTACATGTGTGCCTAAAATCTCCAGAGGAGAATGAAAGAGAAGGGATTTGATGTGCCCATCCCCCGGTGGGGTGATTTCTCATTTTCCTTCTCTCTCTCTCTGTCTCTCTCCAGCCAGCACTTGCACCCAATAGCAAAAACTAGAAAACAAACAATATATTCCTTTTTTTAATTTAGAGAGGTTTTTGCTACAGGGCGCATGCACTCACCAGAAAGACAGATAGAAAGCAAGAAATCACCCCCAGGGAGATGGCCACACTGTAATCCCTTCTCCTCCATTCTCCTCTTGGGATCTTGGGCATGCACACACACACACGCCCAGAGTAAGTTTAAGCCACCGAGTCTGGGGCTCGAACCACAGTTGACTACATGGAAGTCCAGCGACATACCCATTATGTCATCTGCTGGTCCCAAAACAATATACTCTTAAGTCTTAAGTTAGGTTGTAGTTTGTTTACATATTCTATTACAGTTCACTGTTTAGGGAGACAACTTTTTTTTTTGGAGAGGTTTTTGCTATAGGGTGCGTGTGCTCACCAGAAAGACAGAGACAGAAAGCGAGAAATCACCCCCCAGGGGGGATGGTCACGCTGCAATCCCTTCTCCTTCATTCTCCTCTTGGGATCTCGGGCATGCACGCACATGTGCCCGGCATGAGTTTAAGCCACCGGGTCCGGGACTCGAACCACGGTCGGCTACATGGGAGTCCAGCAACATAGCCATTATGCTAACTGCTGATCCCTAGGGAGACAGCTTTATGCCTAATTCAATTTAGTGATTTCCCCTTCTAGTCAGACTTTCCATCTAAAAAGATTGACCAGAATCGGGCTGACACCACTTTCTGTCACCATCATCTTGGACTTTCAGGTTTCCGTATAGAATCCATAATTTGCAATGCCAAATTAATTGGATGATTTTTAATGTTTTCTTCATATCTTTGTCATCTAACCATAGCAAGACCATTTGCTATATGGTGCAGAGCAAAACTGAATGTCGTACTTACCTTTCCCCAGATTTTGTTACTGCAGGAAGTGTAATTTCTTTTATTTTTCTTGTCTTTTTTTTTTTTTTAAGTTTTTTGCTATAGGGCATGTGCGTTATATATTGATAGACAGGAAGGCTGTAGAGGAGCCTTTGAGACTCTTGAGGGAATCCAACACATTATAGAGACCGCTATGATGGCTCTGAGGAGGCGAATACCAAGAAACAGAGTTATACCCCTTAACGGGGGGCTCCATGAACTGAACTCTTCAAACTCAAACAACTCAAAGTTCAGGTACTAAAGATACTTCAGCGATACTCTAGTCTTGTTGGTCATGGTCTTTGTTCAGGGTGTGTTTGTGATTAAGGTCCATAGTTCAGGGGGTGGGAGGGAGGGGTTCAAGGATAAAACTAACAAAATATTTAACACAAAAGTGAAAAGTTACCTCTTGATGATAATGCCTACGGGAGTGTCTCTGACTTGACTGATAAGTACTGTGCTCATGCTGGGAAAACCACATTGTACACGGTAAGGCTGTACGGCGATTAAATGTTAAAAAATAAAAGAAAACGAAAGGACCTGAGTTCACTATAAAATGACCTGCTTGAGAGAGGTATTCATTTCCGTAATTAGCCTGGAAATAGAAGGCACTATAACCTGGAGCCCCACTAAGAGAAATGCAAAGCTTAGGAAGCCTTTGAACAGCCAAGGTTGCCATCCACCATTGGAGATGCCTGTATGTCACCTGTTAGCTGCTCTTATAAACACTTCCTGTGTTCCTTTCCCCTGAGAAATTGTCTTACTGTCTTCAGTGAGAGTCCAGAACTAATATTAATAGTAATGGTAGCCTCTTGAATTAAGTTTCCTGGGGCCAGTAGATGGCATGGTGGTTAAGATGCTGGATCACCGCATGTTTGACCATGGTTCGAGTCCCGAAGCTGGTGGCTTGAAAAATCACACTGGGGCTCTTCACGGAAGAGGCTGACGCAGGTGGTGCAGGGGTGCGGCAGCCCGCTCTGCTCCTGACTCACCTCTGTTGGCTCTCACTGAGGAACAAGTCGGTTAGGAAGCCACGCTGCAGCCATGGCTTTTAAAGTACTGGAAAAACACCCGTGGAGAATTAGAAGTACTTTAACCAGTCGCAACATAAACTCCCTGGAGAAAGTGTGTGCTGACTTAGTCAGAGGAGCAAAGGAAAAGAATCTCAAGGTGAAAGGACCAGTTTGGATGCCTACCAAGACTTTGAGAATCACTACAAGGAAAACGCCTTGTGCTGAAGGTTCTAAGACTTGGGATCGTTTCCAGATGAGAATCCACAAGTGACTCATTCATTTGCACAGTCCTTCTGAGATTGCTAAACAGATCACTTCCATCAGTATCGAGCCAGGAGTTGAGGTTGAAATCACCATTGCAGATGCCTAAGTCAACTATTTTAATAAATTGATTATCATCTATTTAAAAAAAAAAATCACACTGGGCACATGAGTGGCCAAAATCCCAGAAGGAGAACAAAGAAGAAGGGAATGCAGTGTGGCCATCCCCCACTGGGGTGTGATATCTCACTTTCCTTCTCTCTGTCTCTCTCCAGTGAGCGCACATGCCCTATAGCAAAAAACTTAAAAAAAAAAGAAAAAGAGAGAAAGAAAGAAAGGCAAGAAAAATAAAAGAAATTGCACTTCCTGAAGTAACAAAATCTGGGGAAAGTTAAGTACAGCATTCAGTTTTGCTCTGTACCATGCTCTAACCCCCAAAGCTGGCAAAGAGGAATCTAAACTGTGTGATACTCCCTTAAGTATTTCCCTCGAACATGAATGTTCTCCTTTAGTTGTCAGAGAGTGACTTTTACCTGTCTGAATCCCTGGAGGTCTGACTGGCTACAAAGTCCAAGACTGTCCTAACTGTATGGGTTCATTTCCATTTTCACACAACCCCCCTACTGACCAACAAGAGTGAGCCCCTAGACACCCCATTGGAACCTTTCCTCACTTATCTTCATGCGTTTTGTTTTTAATGCCGGGGGTGTTTGTGTGCACAGAAAAAGAGAGGGAGGGAATCAGCAGTTAGCGTAATGGCTATGTCGCTGGACTCCCACGTAGTCAACCGCGGTTCGCGTCCCAGACCTGGTGGCTTAAAACTCACGCCGGGCGCGTGTGCGTGCGTGCCCAAGATCCCGAGAGGAGAATGAAGGAGAAGGGATTGCGGCGTGACCATCCCCCCTGGGGGGTGATTTCTCGCTTTCTGTCTCTATGTCTCTCTCTGTCTGTCTGGCGAGCGCACGCGCCCTATAGCAAAAACCTCTCCAAAAAAAAAAAAAGAAAAGAAAAGAAAAGAAAAAAGAGAGGGAGAGAGAAAGAGAGAGAGGGGGAGAAAAAGGACCTTCCAAAGGGATCTGTTCATGCCTCTTTTCCCTCCTATTCTCCCTTTCATCAGGATCCTGAGGATCTGTGCATATGCCTACCATGTTTTTCAAGCTGCCAAGCTGGGATTGGAACCCTGGTTTTGAGAGATACGATGGGAACTTTCAGGGCAAGCTATTTGGAAGTCGGAAGTGAATGAAGCCAAATAACCAAACCAGCGAGGGCACAAGAGCGTGAGCAAATTCTCCGCAGACTCTACATAGCCCTCAGCGTTTGGGAAGGAGCGCCACCTAGTGGCTCCTTAAGGTAGGTCAGTGGATTTTATTCCCCATAAATCTGCGGGGCTCCTGAAAGATGTCCACGGGGAAACTTACCTCATTATGGTCTCTTTACAGTAAACTGTATATGGGTACTTTAAAAAATTACTTATGTAGGCCTGCAGGTGTCATGGTGGATAAGGCGCTGGACTCCCACATGGTGGAGTGCAGTTTGAGTCTCAGACCTGGCAGCTTGCTTTCTCTTTCTTTCGGTGTCTCTCATCCCTCTGGTGAGTGAAAGTCCTTAAAGCAAAATTTTAAAATAATAATAAATTAAATTAAATTAATTTTTTAAATTTTAAAGAATTTTTTATTTATTTTACAATAATAAGAAAAAAGGGCTGGCAGGTGGTATGTGGTTAGAGAAGCTGGACCTCCCACATAGCTGACCACAGCTCGAGTCCCATACTTAGAGACTTACTTTCTCATTTTCTCTCTTTCTGTGTCTCTCTCTGGTCAAATTGAAAAATAATGATAAGTAAATAAATAAATAAGTAAATCTTTTAAAAATAAATAAAACAAAACAAATAAATAATTTAAAAGATTTATTTAAAAGATTTATTTATCACCACTATTTAAAACATTTATTTAATTCCACTTGTTATTATTATTATTATTTTTTAATTTAAGAGACAGAGATTAAAGGAAAGCAAGAAAGCAAGCCACCAGGTCTGGGACTCAAACCACAGTCGGCCATGTGGGAATCTAATGCCTCCAACTACCATGCCACCTGCAGGCCCCCATCATCATTATTTTTAAAAATTTGCTACTGGGACACACGCTCACCAGAGAGAGGAGAGAGAGAGAGAGAGAAAGCTTCCAGGTCCGGGACCCAAATGCGGGTCAGCCATGTGGAAGTCCAACGCCTTAACCACTATAGCACTTGCTGGGCCCTGTAAGGTACTTTTTGCTCTCTTCTATGATTTGTCTCTATAATGCTAGTGTTTCCCTCCCACTATCTAATAGCTATAATGAAACTTATATTCTTCTAGTAACATTGCAAAATTGACTGATAAACATAGTTCCCGAAATTTTTATCTGTTCATTTCCTCAGCCCTTCCCCTATGTGAGAATTTTAGAAACTAAAATTTTACTTCCTTACTTTCCCATGGATCCTATGTACAGCTCCTCTTAAACATACTCTTTTGAAGACTACTTCCTGAACACTTGCTCTACGTTTTTGTTAGTTTAATTGTAGGATTTTTAAAACATTTATTTATTCTTTTTTTTTTACTTTTTTATTTTATTTTAGAGAGGGATTGTTGCTATAGGGTATGTGCACTCACTGGAGAGAAAGAGAGGGATAGAAAGAAAAAAAGCAAGAAATCACCTCCCATAGGAGATGGCCAAGCTACAATCCCTTCTCCATTCTCCTCATGGATTTTGGGCACGCACACACATGCCCGGCGTGAGTTTTAAGTTACTGAGTATGGGACACGAACTGCAATTTGCTACATGGGAGTCAAGCAATGTAACCATTACGCCTTCTGCAGGTCCCCTCTCTTTAAAAAAAAAAAAAAAATCAATCTAGTGATTGATTGATTGTGATTTTCAAGCCTCTGGGTCTAGGACTGCAAAGCTAGCCATGTGGGAATCCAGCACCTTAACCACCATACCACCTACTGGCCTTATTTATTATTTATGTCATGAGAGAGAGACAGTCACCTTCAAGAGATACTTCTTTCTTCCTCTTTATTTCTTTTTCTTTCCCTCTCTTTCTTTTTCTCTCTTTTTCTCTCTCTTTCTTTCTTTCTTTTTTCTAGGTTTCCATAGGGCACATGTGCTCCCCGAAGAGAGACAAGAAGAGGGAAAGTGAGAAATCACCCCCAAGGGGGGCCCGCAGGTGGCATGGTGGTTAAGGGCACTGGACTCCCACATGACCAACTGTGGTTCGAGTCCTGGACCTGGAAACTTGCTTTCTCACTTTCTCTGTCTCTCACTCTATCCCTCTCTGGTCAAATTAAAAAATAAATAAAGCTAAATAAAATAATTCTTTAAAAAATAAATCACCCCCCAAGGAGATGTTGCCACACCACAATCCCTTCTCCAGTCTCCTCTAGTAATTTTGGGCACATACACATGTGCACCTGATGTTTTTAAAGCCACTGGGTCTAGGACTTGAACTGTGAATCTAGCCATGTGAGATCCAGAGTATTAACCACCGTGCCACTTGCTGAACCCTCAACAGAGTCTTTACACCATGATCCAGCCCCAGCCTTAGCCAGCTTAAATCATGGCTACATGCAGGTGGTGTGCACAGGGAGGCCTCGGGATGCAAACCTGGGACCACCGCATATAGGGCCAGCACACAGAGTGCTTGTTACTACTGCACCACTGTGACTCGTGCACTGTGTGCTTTTTTATTTTTTCTTCAGAGAGATTTTTGCTATAGGACACATGCACTCGCCAAAGAGACAGAGAGACAGAAAGCAAAAAATCACCCCTCAGTGGGGGTGGCCACGCCACAATCTTTCTCCTCCATTCTCTTCTCTGGGTTTTGAGCACGCATGCACACGCACGCACAGACACCTGGCATGAGTTTTAAGCTGCAGAGTTCAGGTCTCAGACTGTGGTCAGCTACATGGGAGTTCAGCAACGTAACCATTACTCCATCCCTGGTCCCCACTATGTGCTTCTTATGTAATCAATACCAGAACCACAATGTCAGCCCCAAGAATCACTGGTGATTTTTTTTTCCTTGCCATAGAGAGTGTGCACTCACCAGGGAGAGGCAGAGAGACAGAGAAAGAAAGTGAGAAAGCACCTCCCGAGGGGATGGCCACACCATAATCCTATTTCCTTCATTGCCTTCTCAAGATTTGGAACATGCACAGACCAGGCCTAGCATGTTTCTTAAGCTGCCAGGTCTGGGACTCAAACTGTGCAGTCAGCCATGTGGAATCCAGCAATCTTAACCACCGTATCACCTGGCTGGCCCAGATTGTTTTTTTTAGAGAGATTTTTTGCTATAGGGCTCGTGTGTTTGCCAGAGAGACAGAGCGAGACAGAGAGAGAGAACAAGAAATCACCAGGTAGACAACCACGCTGCAATCCCTTCTCTTCCATTCTCCTTGGGATTTTGGGCTTGCACACATGCACACCCGGCATGAGTTTAAACCACTGAGTCTGGAACTCAAACCACAATCGACTATGTGGAAGTCCAACAATGTAACCATTATGCCATCTGCTGGTCCTCCCCCATTGTTTTTTCTGTTTGTTTGTTTTTTTGTTTTTTGGGGGGTTTTTTTGAGAGATTTTTGCTATAAGGAACATGCTCTCACCAGAAAGATAGAGAGAGACAGAGAACCAGAAAATGAGCAACCAGGGGGGATGGCCACGCTGCAATCCCTTTTCCTCCATTCTCCTTTCGGGATCTTGGGCATGCATGCACACACACCTAGTGTGAGTTTAAGCCACCGGGTCCAGGACTTGAACCAAGGTCGGCCATGCGGGAGACCAACGACATAACCAGTACGCCATCTACTAGTCCCATTTTTAAAAATTTAACTTTATTTGTTTGTTTTTAATTTGATCAGAGATAGAGAGGGAAAATGAGAAAGCAAGCCGCCAAGTTTGGAACTCAAACCGCAGTAGGCCATGTGGGAGTCTAGTCTAGCACCCCTAACCACCACACCACCTGCTGCCTGGTCCCATGGGTTTTGTTTGTTTGTTTTTTTGTTTTTGAGAGGTTTTTGCTATGGGGCAAGTGCACTCACCAGAAAGACAGAAAGAGAGAGATAGAAAGCAAGAAATCACCCCCCAGGGAAGATGGCCACGCCGCAATCCCTTCTCCTCCATTCTCCTCTGGGGATCTTGGGCACGCACGCACACGCGCCCAGCGTGAGTTTAAGCTACCGGGTCCAGGACTCGAACCGCGGTCAACTACATGGGAGTTCAGCAACATAGCCACTATGCTAACTACTGGTCCCAACCCCATGTTTTTTAAGTGGGCATTTTGGTTTTAGCTAAAGCAACACAACAAGGTCTCACAATAAGCTTTCATATGGAAAGAGAGATCTAGCATGTGATATGCTCACAGAAGGAGGATGGATGAAAACACTCAGCTCTCAAAGGGAAAACAAAAAAATGTGGCAAATTTGCACACAATTTTAAGAAAAGGGAATCTAAAAATAACATAGTGTGTTTGATTTGCTTTTCTCTAAAGCACTACTCTAGGGCAGCAGAATCTCACATGGCCAACTGAGTCCCTGACTTGGTGGCTTGAAAAACACTCCAGGTACGTGTGTGTGAGTGCCCAAAATCCCAAGAGGAGAACCGAGAAGGATTGTGGTGTGGGCATCCCTCTTGGAGAGTAATTTCTTTCTTTCCCTCTTTCTCTCTGTCTCTCTCCAGCGAGTGCACATGTCCTATAGCGATTTATTTATTTTCTCTTTCAGGTTTTTGCCATAGAGTGTGCACTTGTCAGAGAGAGACAGACAGGGAAAGTGTGCTTGGTGTGATTTTCAAGCCACTGGTCCAGGACTCAAACTGAGATCAGTCATGCTACCTGCTGCCACCCCACCGCCCGCCCCGCCCCGCAAATTTAAAAGAGGAAGAAAGGGACCAGCAGATGATTCGGTGGTTAAAAAGCTGGATCCCACATGGTGACTCTGCAGTTCGAGTCTTAAATGGAGGTTTGAAAACCACACCAGGCGCCTGTGGGTGCATGCCCAAAACACTGACGAGGATGATAGTGAATGGACTGCAGCGTGACCATCTTCCTGAGGGTGGTGATTTTTCACTTTCCCTGGTTGTCTCTCTCCAGCAAGTGCACATGCCCTACTGCAAAAATCTAAGGGAAAAATAAAGGCAAGAAAAACGAAAAAAGAAAATCACACATGCATTCGTACCCCAAATCCTAACAGGATGTGGTAATGGAGGAGAAGGGATTACGGCAGGACCACACCTTATTCAGGAGTGCTTTCTCCCTCTCCCTCTCTCTGGTGAGCATATGTACCCTCTTTCAAATTAAAAATAAATAATCATTGCTCTGTAAGTTCTCATTTGGGGGTATGGGACTGGTAGAAACATAAAAGCATGAAGAGTAATGCAAATGTGGAGACCAGCAGTTAGCGTAATGGTTATGTTGCTGGACTCCCATGTAGTTGACTGCGGTTCGAGTCCTGGACCCGGTGGCTTAAAACTCACACCAGGCGCATGTGCATGTGTGCCCAAGATCCCGAGAGGAGAATGGAGGAGAAGGGATTGCAGCGTGGCCATTCCCCCTCGGGGGTGATTTCTCGCTTTCTGTCTCTCTGTCTCTCTCTGTCTGTCTGGTGAGTGCACGCACCCTGTAGCAAAAACCTCTAAAAAAAAATGAGTAACGCAAATGTGTTTTTCCAAACATGATTTGTCTGTGTTTGGGGTGGTAGAACCTGGTAAGGCTGACTCCAGGCAGAATTTTGTGCACAGAATCCACAATGGCCACTAGGGGGCAGGAGGCCCTGTGTCACACAGAACCAGCAAGAACAGTGACAAGGAGTTAATGGAGTTACGGGCAAGGCACATTTTTGGTTTTGTTCTTTAATTAACTTTATTTATTTTAATTTGACCAGAGAGGGACAAAGTGTGTGTGTGTGAGAGAGAGAAAGCGCAAGCCTCCAGGTCTATGACTAGAGCTGCAGTCGACCATGTGAGAGTCCAACACCCTTAACCACCATGCCACCTGCCGGCCCCACAAGGCACATTTTGTAACCTCAGGCTTGGGAAGCCTGCAAGCTCCCTGCAAGCTGTTCCAGCTATCTAAGAGAGGGAAAACTATTTGACAGAGACCAGGCTGTCCTCTCTCAACCATAGCAGGAATACTCACATTTCTTTTCTTTCCTTTTTTTTTTTTGGAGAGGTTTTTGCTACAGGGCACGTGCACTCGTCATAGAGACAGAAAGTGAGAAATCCCCCCCCAGGGGGAATGGCCACAACGCAATCCCTTTTCCTCCATTCTCCTCTCAGGATCATGGGCACGCACGCACACACGCCCGGTGTAAGTTTAAGCCACCGGGTCCAGGACTCAAACCGCAGTCGACTACATGGGAGTCCAGCAACATAGCCATTACGCTAACTGCTGGTCCTGAAATACATTTCTCAGCTCCTGGGACAGGCCTCATTCATTTCCCTGATGACTTAATTGAGCTCCATACTTGCATCCCTCTTATCAACATGCCTGAGGTAAATGCTATTTTCTGGGCCTGTGTAGGGACACCACTAACCATGCCAGATGGAAAAAGAAGTTCTCCTGGTCAGTCACAACCTAGCAGCTACTGGACTTGGCAAGCAGACTGATACTATTGCAGAAAAAGTATTCAATGCAGTTGTTAAAGCAAGGAAAGAAAGACCTTACACAGGCCCATCACCACAGGTATGGACGATGACCACTGCAATAGGCTCATGCAGTGGGGACGGAGACTGGCTTACCCACGAATACAGCATGGCCAAGTGGGAGTTGTAGCCCAGGTGCTGGGGGTGCAGGGGCCATGAGTGGAAGGCTACTAAGAGGAAACATCAGGGGTAGGGGCGATTCAGGCTAAACTGATAACAGGGTTCTTCCTAGACACAGGAAGCTCTTTTGCTCAAACTGGATTTTGCAAGGTGTTAGGGTGATCTTTGTTGTGGTCTGTGAAAAAAATCCCCAAAGTCAGGGAGAAATTGGATAGAAAAGGCATTTTCACTCTCTAGGAGAGTTGTATCAGCCCTGAAGGGTGGAGCCAAGAAGCTTTTATTGGGACTTAGGGAAGCAGGGCTGTCGTTGGGTAATCAGGGCCATCCCAGGACAGGGCATTTGCTGGCCCTTGGGTTGCTTCATCGTTATCGCTGGATGCCGTATCTGGCTGCTGCAGTTTGCCATGTGTTCTGTCCTTGGTTTTGGTGCCAAGGGTTGATGGATATGTTGTAAAATCTACGTCTGAAGACAAGAACTTAGAAAATACAAGTACGGCCATCTGCAATGAAGTCCAGAAAGGGCCAACGAACTAACTTGGGAAGAAAAAGGGAGGAGGAGAAGGAATGTGTGAAGCACCTGGGAGCAGTGGATGCATCTTTTCAATTAAATATCTGAGGTGCCACTGAGACCCTGAGTCCCCTCCGTGCCAGGGAGACAGAGTTAACCCTTTTTAACCTTGAAGTGCCTACTTTTATGCCTTTCACAAGGCAAGTGCACAAATAGGCCTAGGAGATGATTCAGAAGCCTGACTAAAGTTTGGCTAAGCAAAGAGCTTTTCTTTTTTCTTTTCTTTTCTTTTTTTTTTTTTTTTTGCCATAGGGTATGTATGCTCACTAGAGATAGTGAGAGGGAAAGTGAGAAATCACTCCCCCAGGTGGGTGGCCACACCACAATCCCTTTTCCTCCACTATTCTGGGATCTTGGCATACACACACACACACACACACACACACACACACACACACACACCCCTAACATGGCTTTCAAACTGCCATGTCCGGGATTTGAACTGCAATTTTTTTTTTTTTGGAGAGATTTTCACTGTAGGGCGCGTGCGCTCGCCAGACAGACAGAGAGAGACATAGAGACAGAAAGCGAGAAATCACCCCCCAGGGGGGATGGTCATGCCGCAATCCCTTCTCCTCCATTCTCCTCTCGGGATGAATGAGAAAGCCCCGTCCATGGGAGATGGTCATGCCACAATCCCTTCTCCTCCATTTCTTCCTCTTTCTGGTATTTAGGACATGCATGCACATACCCTGGGCATGTTTTTCAAGCCACCAGGTCTGGGACATGAACCATACAGTTGGCCATGTGAGAGTCTAGAGTCTTTTTTTTTTTTTTAAGATTTATTTACTTTTAATTTTTATTATTATTGTTTTTAAAAATTATTTAAATTTATTATCATTTTATTATTATTTTAATTTGATCAGAGAAAGAGGGAGAGAGAGGGAAAGTGAGAAAGCAAGCTGCCACGTCTGGGACTCGAACCATAGTCAGCCATGTGGGAGTCCAGTAGCCCTAACCACCACGTCATTTTGCTTATTATTATTCTTCAATTTTGACCAGAGAGAAAAGAAGAGTGAGAAAGCAAGCAACCAGATCTAAGACTCAAACTGTGGTTGGTCATGTGGGAGTCCAGCACCTCAACCACCATGCCACTTGGACCCTAGGAATCCAGAGTCTTAACCACCACACCACCTGCTGTCCCCAGCAAGAGTGAGTTTTTAAAACTTTGTTACATATTGAAGTAATGGACATAATATTCAAAAAATGGAATTGAAGTATGAGTTTATTTTGGTGCAAATAAAATGGAAGTGACCAGACGGTGGTAAAACTCAATGTTCTATGAGGCTGACCAACATGAGAAAGTTCTTGGTTCTTATTTGGAGACCTCTCAGTACACCAAGCACACACTGGCCCGTTCTCTGGTGCTGGCTGAGGCTGGTGATGGACCACGGCGCCAAGATCCTGTTGGGGGGGACCAGCAGTTAGCATAATGGCTATGTTGCTGGACTCACATGTAGTCGACTGCGGTTCACGTCCCAGACCCGGTGGCTTAAAACACGCCAGGCATGTGTGCGTGCGTGCCCAAGATCCCGAGAGGAGAATGGAGGAGAAGGGATTGCGGTGTGGCCCCCCGCCGGGGGTGGTGATTTCTTGCTTTCTGTTTCTCTGTCTCTCTCTGTCTGGCGAGCACACGCACCCTATAGCAAAAACCTCTAAAAAAAAAGAAAATCCTGTTGGGGGTGTTCTCTGTCTCTCTGAACAAATAAATAAACTTTATAAAAGAAAAAAAAGATTGCTTCAATGGTGGGTTGACCAAGGGCATGTGGTTCATTTATTTGTCCAGATATTTTATCCCTGTTCCAAGTCACACCATTTGAGACTGGATAAACTAGACGGATCCTTATAGAACAGCTGGGCATGGGTCTACATCGACGGCCATCACAGGAAACAGCTTTCATAAAGTTCTTGGTTCCCTCAGGGGCCAGCAGGTGCCATGGGGTTAAGGCACTGGAATTCCTACATGGCTGATTGAGTCCCAGACCTGGCAGCTTGCTTTCTTACTCTCCCTTTCTTTCTCTCTCTCTCTCTCTTTCTCTGGCAAAACCCATGTGAAAATAAATAAATAAATAAATAAATAAATAAAATAATCCTTTAAAAAATTATTGATTCTATCCACTAGAGGATAGGATAGAAGCCTTTATCTATTCATCATGGAGAATACTCTGTAACCATCTATAATGTGGGGCCAGCCAGGTGGCATGGTTGTTAAGGCAGCTGGATCCCACATGACTGACTGTGAGGTTCATGTCTTGGACCTCAGTGGCTTAAGAAAACATGGTGGGCACATGTGCATGTCCAAAATCCCAAGAAGAGAGCGGAGAAGGGACTGCAGTGTGGTCATTCCCTCTAAGGGGCGATTTGTTACTTTCCCTCTCTCTCTCTGTTTCTACCCAGTGAGCACAAACAAAAGAAAAAAATATATAATCTGAAATATTTACCTCAGGAAAAATTCTGTTTCTCTCAAACAATCCACTTCCCTGTTTAATAGACATAGTATCTGTAGCCAATCATGTTTCCCTCTTCGCTTTGACCACTTAGGTAGCTCAGTGCGATTTTCCATAACCATGAAGGACACTGGGGACAATCAGCACAGCATGGCTATGAGGTGTTTGGGCTTTCAGACTGGCCCAAACAGTGGCTGAGCCCTGTGCTTAGGAAGCCGGGTCCCACATGACAGCTTGCAGATTGCGTCCCATGTGCACGTGTGTCCAAAGTCCTGATGGGATGCAGAAGTGGAGGAAAGGGGACTATAGTGTGGCCAGGCCCCATTATGGATGCTTGTTCTCTCTCCCTGGCCAGTGCCCTCTAGCAATTTGCAACAACAACAACAACAAAAAAGGGGGCTTTGGAGTCTGGCAAACCTGGGATGAAATCTTTTTCTTGTCATTGCCAGCCATATAAACTGTAGGTGAATTATACATTTTCCAAGGACCTATAAAATGGGCATAATCACATTAATTTGGGAAATTATCTTTTTTTTTTATTAAAGAGTTAGTTTATTTGACTTTATTTATTTATCTTTACCTTGACCAGAGAGGGACAGAGAGAGAAAGAGAGAGAAAGTGAGAAAGCAAACCACCAGGTCCAGGACTCGAACCATGGTCGCCCACGTGGGAATCCAGCACCTTTAACCACCACACCATCTGCTGGCCCAGGAAATTATCTTATTGAGAAGATTAAGAAATTCTTTGCTGGGACTAGCAGATAGCATAATGGTTATGTCGCGGGGCTCCCGCATAGTTGACCGGAGTTCAAGTCCTGGACCCAGGCGGCTTAAATTCACACTGGGCACATGTGCATGCATGCCCAAAATCTCAAGAGAAGAGTGGGGGAAAACAGACTGCAACGTAGCCATCCCCCCAGGGGGTGATTTCTCGCTTTCTGTCTCTCTGTCTCTTCAGCGAGCTCACGTGCCCTATACCAAAAAAATTTATCTTAAAAGAAAGAAATCCATTACTGAGCAGAGCCCAGCACTGAGCATTCAACTCACCTGTAATCACTTTGGCTCTATGTGAGGTCATCTTTCTAATATTTTCTCTTTTCTAACTGTGTAAATGGATTCATTTTTTTAAGAATTATTTGTTTAATTTTTATTTATTATTATTTTTTTTAATTTGCTATAGGGCATGTGCACTCACCAGAGAGAGACAGAGAGAGAGAGGGAAAGTGAGAAAGCAAGCAACCAAGTCCAGGATTTGAATCTGTCGGCCATGTGGGAGTCCAGCACCTTAACTACCATGCCATCTTCTGGTCCCTCCCCACCACCTTTTTTTTTCAGGGATGACATTTATTCTTTTTCCAAATACTACCGTAAAACGGGGGCTGGCAGGTGGTGTGGTGGTTAAGGGCAGTGGATTCCCATATGGCTGACTGCGGTTTGAGTCCTGGACCTGGCGGCTTACTTTCTCGTTTTCTCTCTCTCTCTCACTTGGTCCTTCTCTGATCAAATTTTTAAAAATAATAAATAAATAAATGGATAAACTTAAAAAAAAAAAAACAGGTGGAAGAGAACAGTTTGAGCAGTTAGGGAAGAATGAGAGTACAAATATGGGGTTTTATCATAAAAACATACTTAGAAAATGTGAGGAAAAAAAAGACATTCTTTCAGGACCAGCAGTTGGCATAGTGGCTATGTCACTGGACTCTCATGTAGTCGACCGCAGTTTGAGTCCCAGAGCCGGTGGCTTAAAATTAAGCCAGGCACGTGTGCGTGTGTGCCCAAGATCTCAGGAGGAGAAGGGATTGCAGCGTGGCCATCCCCCCTGGGGGGAGATTTCTCGCTTTCTGTCTCTCTGTCTGTCTCTGTCTGGCTGGCAAGTGCATGCGCCCTATAGCAAAAACCTCTCCAAAAAAAAGAAAAAAAGGACATTCTTTCACATTATAAAAAACACCCTCACCCTCAGCCTAATACTCGCTTCCTGAGTCAAGAAGACAGCCGTGGTTTCAAAAGCTGGAGGTTCAAACCTGAATGAAGGGCCAGTAGGTAATAGGTGGCTGGACTTCCAGATGACTGACCATAATCTGAGTCCTGGACCTGGTGGCTTGAAAATCATTCTGGGCGTGTGTATATGTGTGCTCAAAATCCCAAGAAAAGGAGGGAGAAGGGATTGCAGCGTGGCCATCCCTCCTGAGGGAGTTATTTCTCACTTTCCTTCCCTCATAGCTCTCTCCAGCAAACGCATGCGCCCTATGGAAAAAAAAAAACAGAACCCAAAACAAAAACCATGAGTGAAGCATTTATAAAAACCCACATAGGGGCATTGTCCTCCCCACAGTGGCAGGGGTGGGGGGGTGGGGGGGACTATGCACAGCCAGAGAAATGGAAAAGTCAAAAAGCTAAGAAAAGGTGGGACACTCAGGGTTTGGAAGTACAAGCACTCCACTTCTAGCTCAAGGGTCTGGGGACTAAGGTGACTAAAATCTACTTGGAAAAGAACAGGGTTACCAAACGAGCAATGGCCTTTTGCAGGGCCGCGACAGCAGCGGTTCACATCACTCACCT